TTTATTGTTGAAAGTATTACAAATGTCCCCCTTTCCGCCCCATTTGTCTCCTCTACCCTGCACCTCCCCCACCCAGGCCTTCACCACACTGTCTGTCTGTAGGTTATACATACATGCATGTTCTTAGGTTAATCACTCCCGACCCACCCACCCCTGCCTTCCCTCTGGGGTCCCTCAGTCTGTTCCATGCTTCTGTGTCTCTGGATCTATTTTGTTCATTGGTTTATTTTATTCATTAGACTCCACATACGAGTAAGATCATGTGACACCTGTCCTTCTCTGACTGCCTCATTTCGCTTAGCATAATACTCTCCAGGTCTCACCATGTTGTCTCGAAGGGTAAGGGGTCCTTCGTTTTTACGGCTGCATAGTATTCCATGGTGTAAATGTTCGAAAAGGTGCTTGATATTTCAATCTTCTTGAGCTTGTAGAGACTTGTTTTGTCCTAACATGTGCCTAACATGTCTGTCTTTGAGAATGTCCCATGTGCACTGAGGAGATTGTATAGTCTACATCTTTGGGGTGAAATGTTTTGTAAATGTCAATTAAACCCATCTGATCTAGTGTGTCATTTAGAGTCACTGTTTTCTTGATTTTTTGGCTGGTAGATCCAGTAAAGTCAGTGGGGTGTTAAAGGCCCCTACTATGACTATTTCTGTCACTCTCTCCCTTAAAGTCTTCCACAAGTTTTTTTTTCTTTTCAGCCTGTGTCTTTTGTTTTGAGGTGTTTCTCTTGCAGACAGCATATATTTGGGTCTTATTTTCATAGAAGATATAATATTTTTAAGAAAATATTTCGAGGAAAAATCTATTATACCTAAGAAGAGACACTCTGCTTGACACAGTGTAATGAGGTCTATGACCCACGTGTATAGTATTTGGTAATTTTTCAAAAAATTGAAGCTAGAACTTTAAAAGATATTATGGGATTATTTTTCATGTCGTCCCTATCCTCTAATTCCTTTATTTCCTTGAAAATACTCCTTATTTTCACATACTTTACCTTTACTTGTATCATTTTTGATTATTTCTTGTTCTTAGAACTATAATCTTTCATATTGAGTTAAATCACAAATACTTCTATTTGTATACCACTAATCCCTATCTTTTGGAAATATATTACAATATTGGGGGGAAAATGCTACGAAAACTAGAGATGCAACTTATTTTAAAGCTAATTATTTAGAACATTAGGTTAGCACACTGGTATCACCATGTATTTACTGACTTGAGATGTTTTAAATGAGGGTGCATTTTTGAGGGTAAAATATTGAAATAAAATGGTTTGATTTCCATGTTACTGTTTGGGTGTGAAAATTAAAAAAACTTCAACTAAAACTGGAGTGGGGAAGGCCTGAGGAGGGAGCTCTCACACCCTCCTACTCATCAGTGACCTCAAACGGGAAGAAGGAGATTATCTCCGTGCCCAGCAACAAGCCCAGCCAATAGAAAGCACCACAGCTCAGCCAATGAGAAGCCGTCACCACCCTGAACTCTAACATCCTCACATAACCTTTCACTTTTCCTTGCTGATGACTCTCTTGCCACACCCTCCTTTCTACAAAAGGCTTCTATTTTGTGTTACTCCTTAGAGTAGCTCTCTGCTTGCTAGATGAGATGCTGCCCAATTCATAAATTAATAAAGCCAATAAGATATTAGTTGAATTTAGATTTTTAACCTGGGGAATAAAACAGTAAGTCTTAATATCAATTTATAAAAATATAATCCCCACTGCAAGGGTTTATTGGTGTTCTTTTCTAGAGGCATGAAAATAAAAAAATCTGTGAATATTAACTTATCACATAGTTTAAGTAAAATTTTATCTAATATTCAGAGATATAACCATTTAAACTATACAATTAAAGGCATACATGTTAGATGATCAAATTGAAAATTAAAATCAAGAGGCCTTAAACACCCCTTCACCCTACACACTCTCAGAAACAGGTATTTGACAGGGGATAACTGTTTATATGAGTAAAGTCATTCAACCCATGCATTTATTTCTATAATGTGTATACGAGATATTTAAAATTCCTCACCACAATAATGCATCAATTTGAGATTTCAAATAAAATCCTAATCCATTTTCAGTTTTCCAATGTTTATGACAGTAAAATTTCTTTACTCTTTAGGGCATGGTATCTTTATCATGGCCATACAGGTTGTATATAATCGCACTTCAATAATCTGATACATTGGAAATCAAAACCCAAACAAATCCTTGTTGGACGAAATAATTTCTTGCTGAGCAAAAATCCTTTAGTCTAAAACTCTGTGTAGATTTTTCAGAGAATATCCCCTTTGGATTTGTGCAGCATAAATTTATGAAAGAACTTCTACTACACATGGAATCAGTGGGTTTAGAAGAGATACAAAATTGTCCCTACATGCAATAGTCTGAGACTAATTTACATCACCACCCATATTACTTCTTTCAAAAGATAACTCTTTGTTTCTCAGACTGTTGTACACAGAAAAATACAAATTCTTTACATTAAAACTGAGAAATTTATTGACATTTTTTCATGAAGTAGTAAGCAGAATTAAAGAAGAAATATACAGCTTAAAACAGTTGAAATGATCCTAAAATTTTTATGGCAATGTTAAATTCATGGTCAAATAAAAATGAATAGTTTTTAATAATTAAATCACTTAACATTTTTGCTCAATAATTTATCTGAAAGTAAAAAGATATGAGGATAACTGGGATCTGAGTATCTTATAAAATAAAATAATGCCACTTATCCTTCTAAAAAAAATTGTGATCCTTGTTAAAACAGTGGTTTGGTTCTGCTCCCCACCCACAGAAGCCACTTCTCCATTCTACCACTTAAAAAAGTATCAACATCAGTCTTCTGATTTGTAAGGATACCAGCCAATTTGGTTCCATTTAACAATGTTTCCAGTAGACAGTCATAGATACAGGACTGAGCCTTAAGTAGAAGATTAGTATCTCAACATAGCAGTCATGGCTTTCTTCTAGTGCTCACTGAGGTCAAATATCCTCATATAATTATAAATGTTAAAAGGCAAAATTACATCTCAACAGCAGCCAAAAATTTATATATTTTTTATGTATTTACAATATTGTACATATTTACATGACCACATCAAATACTGAATTGTAGAAACAAGAGACCACCTATAAAGGCATTTTTTTTAATGCCTCGGCATTATTGTCTTGTGCAAACTGAAACTTTTCTCAGACTTCTTAGAAAGCTAAAGACAGTCAACATTGCGAAGGCCACCATCCATAGTTAAAGAGCCAAACCTAAAAACAGAAGAAAAAAGGCAATCTCAAAAGATGGATTTATTTGGCCCCTAACATTTTATGAGACTGACGCGCTACCTACTGCGCTAACAAGGCACCTGGCCCCTAACATTTTAAAGTAGACTATAGAATACTTTTCAGAAGAATAAATGTTATTTTTAAAGAGTTTAAGCAACTATGAGTTGCTCTATTTCTTACTGAAACACAGCATTATTATTATAAATATGTGAAAAAATACAAATCAGTGGCTTAGGAAGACTTCTTAAGAGAAAATGGAGTGATGTAATCCAGAAGCATTAGGAAGAACTGATAATTTCTTTTTGGTGCGGTGGGATTTATAAGCAAAGATGTGGAGTTGAGAGTACGTGTGACATACTGAAGGGACAGTGAGGAGTGAAGTCTTCCTAGAACAGACTGTTATTTTGGTATATGTGCTGCCGAAGTGAGCACAGATTATTACTTTGGGAGAGTAGTGGGAAATAAAGTTGGATGAATAGGCTGGGGGTGGACTATTACATTCTTTGAATTCAAGTATGCATTTATACTTGACCTTTTAGATAACAGGAGTTCAGACATTTTTGAGCCAAGGGAGTGGCATGGTAAGACCAGTATTTGGGAAAATTACTTCGGCTGTAATACCCATGACAGATAGAAGTGCCTGGGGTTAAGGAAACAGGTGGTGCTATAACCACAGTTCACATGTGAAGGGAAAGGAGAACTGGATGAGGTTGATGAGATGAAATACGGAAATTTCCATTTTGAAGGAAGATTACCAAACTTGATGAAAGAGAGTAAAGAGGAGTAGTGCCTAAAATAATTTATGTTCAATGGAGTAGGAAAAAGGTTGTCTCACTGAAAAAGATCAGAAAATTGAGGGGAAACTAATTTGGAAAGGATGATAGTAAGTGATTTTTGACAGAAAGAAATCTGAAGTGACAGTGACAATCCCATTGAGACTGCACAAGACCTGACTTCTGCTGCTAGTTCTGACACAAATCCTTAAGTGGTCACTTAACATTTAGGTTATAATTATGCCATGTTATATCACCATATATTTTGAAAAAAACCTACAAATAAAACACAGGAGGAAATTACTTACTGGAGCATGTTTTAGGAAGTGGGGATTTTATTCCATAAGGGATAAGTGATTCAATATAAAAGTTTGTTCAAGTATATTTTAATAGTCTCCTCTACTTGCAGATTTTTAGCCTTACAAGATAAATTTAGGATTTAGCTAAAGTTGTGAAGAAATTATAAATTGGATACTATAAAAAGATAAATTACTATGTAGTTGCTATAAACCAATAAGAAATGTAAAGCCTAATAGGCAAGACACAGAAAAAAAACTGAATGAACATATAAAAAGATGCCTGACATCATTAACCAAAAAAAGTGAATTAAAACAAGAAAGAAAGTTTTCACTAAACTGACAAACACTTAAAAAAACTGGTAAAATTCAGTGTTAACAAAATCATACTCTTTGTTTGGGACTACAACATACACACCTTTAAAGAACAAATTAACAATACCTATGCAAACTTAAATGTGCATGCCTTTTGACCCAACAACTCCACATCTGGAAACTGATCCCTCAAAAATTCTTATACAAGTAAATGAAGACACACATACAACTATGTTCACTAAAGCATGGTTTGTAATTATGAAAAATCAGAAACAACTTAAATGCCCAACAAACAGGGATGTATTAAGTAGCTATGTTGGACCCTTACACTGGAAAATGAGACAGCTGTTGAAAATGAGAAAAACAGAGCTATGTGTATGGACTCTAAAAAGTACCTTTGACATTATAGCCTCAAGTGAAAAAAATAAGACTAAACCAATGTGAACAGAACGATTCCATTCTTATAAAACACACATATACAACAAACTATTCATAGTGATTACTTCTGTGGGGATGTGGTGGCATGGGAAAGGGCAGGTGGAATATTTTATTTACAAATTTTTACAATTATGTATTTATTGTTTGAAAATTTTAAAAGAATTCATTAAATTAATTAAAAATTTTAATAATGCTATAGAAGTGTCTCATAACTTCTGCACATAGCTCAGAAATCATGTGATTTCCTGACAGCAAATCTTTCCAAGCCTTACAGATAGGTAGAGTGAGGGAAATATTTTAGGAGGAGATAGGAGGCTGGGTTGCAGTTCCAGCTTATCTTCTCAGGGTATGAATTTCAACGTTTGTAGAACATGAAGAGACTATCTGCTCTGCTACTGTATAGAAAGCACATTAAGTGACATGATGCAGTGTGGAAGTGCCCTGTAAGTGAACAAAACATCCTATAAGTGAAATATTTTTATTAGCATTTTAGGGAATAGAAAACCCACAGAGAGACGTCTGAGGGCTTGAAAGAGAAGGGCTATATTCCATTAGAGAGCCAATTATGATTTAACTTCTTTGAGGGACAAGGAAACAGCCATCCCAAAGTGGCTTTATTGGCTCTGGACATTTTCCAACTCTCTTTTTCCCCGACTTACTAGGATTCTGTAGATAAGAAGAAAACCCCTCAAAAAACTGTATTTACAGGTGGCACTCACCTGCAGGGAGGTTTGCAGTGAGCTCTGCAAATTACCCAGCACCAATCAGGGTGCTGGCATCTTATAAGCAACTCCAATTCCAAAATTGAAAATTATAATTCTAATGACATGTTATAAAAAATAATGTGCAAAAGATTTTCATTTCCACAAACTGATTCAAATAAGCAAATAAATAATTCTATTAACTGTGCTTATATAAAATGGAATCAGTCAGAGTTGACTTGTCTTTATCCAAACAACCCCAAACAAATTAAAAGGCATCATGGAAGCCACAATAAAAGGGGTCTGATTTTATATCCCTTTCCTACTGCCTAATCTATCGATATCAGAAAACAGAGACATATAAGTATAGGCACATATGTACTTGACTGCATATAAAATGACAGGGTAGAATGCTATCTGTATTCACTTACCTTTCTAAAATATGATTATTTTCAGCAAGTTCTTTAACCACCCCTTCCATTTCTTCTTTTAATTTCTTCATGCTGTACATACAAAATAAAGATAAATAAGCATCTCTGCTCAAAAAAGTATGCAGATGTTTTAGAATTGTATTTATATTATGTTTTAGTTCTATACTTGAACTAAGTCACTAGATAACATCTGCAAACATATTTGTAAGTATCAAAAAATTTCAATATAAAAGATCAAGCTCACAAACTGAAACAAAAACAAATGGAAACATCACAGTTACCAAATAATACATTTCTTACCCAAGGGTCATTTCTACTAATGTGTTAGAACATGGATAAATTGGGGCCATGGTATGTTTGACTCCACTGGAGGCTGCAAGCATTTTCTGAGGCAAAGTTTCTTGTAACTAGAACATCAAAAGATCCCACATTAATCACAGAACAAAGTACTTACTACAGATCTTAGGTTAAATGTTATAGGTTTTAATAAGCCCTTTATAGCTTTACGTTTTAATTTCAAAACCATCACCGATATAATACTTAAATCAACACTTCAAAAAAATCTTTTATTAAGGATGATAAAATAATAGTCTTTCAGATGTTTTCAACTGTAAAACATCTAAGTTCTTAAAACTTGGCTCAAAATATATACCACAGCCCTGGTCAGGTGGCTCAGTTGGTTGTAGATTTGCTCCCTGGTCAGGGTGCCTACAGGAGGCAACGGATCAATGCTTCTCTCTCATGTTGATATTTTCTCTCTCTCTCTCTGTCTAAAGATCAATAAAAACATACCCTCGGGTGAGGATTAAAAAAATATATAGCCCTAGCTGGTGTTGCTCAGTGGTTAGAGCGTTGGCCCAAGGACTAAAGGGCCCCGGGTTTGATTTCGGCCAAGGGCATGTGCCTCAGTTGCAGGCTCAATCCCCGGCCTGTGTCAGGTGCGTGAGGGAGGCAACCAATCAATGTGTTTGTTTCTCTCCCCTCCCCCCCCTTCCACTTTCTCTGAAAAGCAATGGAAAAAATTATCCTCCAGGTGAGAATTAAAAAAAAATATATATATATATATATCCCACAAAGGGGCAAGTAGAACTGATGCATGTATATTATGCCCTATTTCTCCCTTCTCAATCATAATCAAATATAAACTGAAAAGAATTTTATTTCAATTTTTCCTAATAGGAAAAAGAGTGTTTTTCTCCTACTTTGATAGCTGTACCTCATTAGTATAGTCTTGATACTTTGATACTTCCTCTTGAATATCAAAACACTGATTAGTTAGGGATAACAACTGTTTCCTAAGATGAAGCATCTTTCTGAAAACCAAAAAGAACTGATTAATAAGCAATCTAATGAAATATTTTTCTTACTTAAAATATACAATATACATTAAAATGTGTATCGTAGAATCAACCACTACTTACCCCCCAAACAGTTTACCTACCTCATCCATTCTTCTGACTTATCCAAAAATGTCTCGTACTTTTTAACACATTCATCTGTGAAGTGGGTCATAGCTTTTGTTGCATGGTAATACAGTTTCTGCCTGGAATTTAGAAATAATCATGGGCTTAAACCAATGTCACTGTTTCTATTTCTAATATTTAAAAAATTTCAAATACATAAATTTGTTTCCTGTAATGATAGTTGTGACTTTGGAATATTTACAGAAGGCCAAAGATTTCTAAGACAGACATAATAGCAGCAAGAGGAGAATAAGAAGGGAGAATAGTAAAACATATTTTTATTGAATTAAGGTTAAGAAGGTAGTCAAGTCTGTCCCCGCCTATGTTCTCTACTACCCACCCTTCTGCAATAGAAGCACATGAGGCAGAAGAGTGTCCCTCATTTTCCCACCTCAGTAGCCTCTCAACCAGGAGCTATTAAGTGGGCCTCAAACATGTGCACACAGAGTAATACTTGTGTAAAGCCGATATTAAAATGTATTTTGAATTGTAATTAATTTAAACTTTAAGAAGAATAGCATTAATAACACAACCGAAAACAATGATTAAATATGATCTGGACACTTACTTGTCAAATTTGTGGATTTGTTCTTCATTATAAGCTAGTCCTAAAAGTACAAAAATATATTACTTTTGTAAATGTACAATCATAAAATCACACATAGTATTTTTTTCTTTTGAGATTACTTCAAAAAGTCTAAGAGTTTAAAGCAGATGTCACCAACTTGTGACCCATGGGTTAGAAATAGCCCACAAATGCTTTCATTTGGTCTGTAGTGTTAACACTAAAAAGAAAAATTAACTGCCAACATTTAAAATCAGAATATTTTCAATAAAACCTGTTTTTCTAGCTCTTCTTGAGATATAGCAAGACTGGGCAACAAATCAGGTGAATCTGAATAGTGACTCTCCCCTTTAGATGGGGGTCTCTCCTCTCCAGTTCTCAGTCTCCACTGGCCAATTTCATTCCTGTTATGCCTGGCCTCTAGAGGCTGTGAAGTTCATGACCCCTGATTTAAAATATTCAAAGGGTTGGTTTTAAAAGCAATTTTTAGTATATTCACCCTCTTTCATGACAGAATCAAATCTCTGAAAAATAACTTAAGCAGCCACCCTTACAACTAGCAGAGCAGATTTCATTAGATTAACAAATGGCAAATTTTACTTACTACGTTCTGCTTTGTCTTTTTTGAACTGATAGTAAATCTCTGTGATGCAATTTAACAGGACTTGTAGCTTTTCTACACTATTTAAGGAAGAAAAACTCAAATAAATTAACTGAGTCAATGTGAAAAAAGACATTTAATAAGAGTAGAAACTACCAATAAAGTTATAACCTACTGTCTATCTTTTGGATGAATGCCTTCTTGATGGGCCCATGTATCTGACACCAATCCACCTGGAGATAATTTGCTTTCGATATCCTGAAGACTGGTTTCTATTGTTCCCCGAGAACTGGAAAGCTAAACAAAAGCAATGGGTTCAGATCCAGATTACTGAAAGTCAGAAATGATCATCACAGTGCCAATGGAGTCTAAAGTTTGAATCATATTTCTTTTATAGATTACTTCAACTCAAAGTCAGAACATACAAATACTTTTAGTCATTCAAGCTTCGGTAAAATATGGCAAATACTCTATCCCATAGCATAGCCCCAAAGATAAAATGTAGGTAGGTAATTCCTTTTAAAAACAGAAAATGAAATCTTAAGATCCTGTTCATTTTAAGCTTAGTAAATTTATCAACTTATCTGCCATAGAACAAAGCATTTGTAAAACCTTTAAAGAAAGGGTAAGGGCCCTAGGAAGTCCGGCTCAGTGGCTAGAGCACCAGCCTGCAGACTGAAGGGTCCTGGGTTCTATTCCAGCCAAGGGCATGTACCTCGGTTGCAGGCTCAATCCCTGGCACCAGCTGGGGCACATGCAGGAGGCAACCAATCAATATGTCTCTCTCACATCGGTGTTTCTCTCT